CGGCGGATCTCCACCAAATTCGAGGGATCCCTTCAGCTCGAGGAGTCCTCTCGAACGCCACCCTCCGCGTTTCGGTAGCCCCCCCCGGGATCGCTAGATCGGTCGGCGCCGTACCGTGAATTTAACCACCCGTAACTCCCGAACCCAGGGGGCTATCCAGGTGGGGGTGGTCTCATTCGAAAGAGGGCCTCTAGACGTACACTCGATTCGCGTTCGAGAGGGTTCCTCGAGCTGAAGGGATTCCCCCAACTTAGAATGCTTAATGTTGGTTTGATTGCTTGTGTTACATGAGAAAATAAATAACCTTGCTTACCTGATGTAATAGATTTAATGCGAGTCCGGTTCGGGTCGCGACTCGCAGTCTTTGTCAAACGGTTCTCGTCTGGTACAGAATTAAATTAGTGTTGCTGTCAGATAATAGGTCGGGTGTTCTGTTAAGTACTGCTGGTGCACGTTTACCAAACAGGACCCGTGCAGGCTTTAAACTGCTTTGCATCTCTCCGTCAGATAACACCATGTGTGTGATGCGCCATTACAGGTAGGCTATTTCCCTAAACCTCCACACAGCTCGTATATTTTTCTGCCAAGGGGTGAGAACGTAATGATTACGAAAACGATTATTTATTTTTGATAATTTTATTTCAGTTAGTTTTTCAATAACTGTTGTTAGTTTAGTTTCGTTTTAGTTTTTCAATTATTTTGCCATTTCTATTTTATTTCAGTTTACGAAATAGTTTTCTCATCAATCGTTTTAGTCTTAGTTTTAGTTTTAGTTTACGAAAATAATCTTGCGACGTCACAGCCACACTCACAGTCACGTGTAAATACGTCGTTTTGTGTGAGAATGATTCTAATTTTAATTGCATTCAGTGTAAACGGCGACTGATAATGTGTTTGTCATGCCAGATAAGGCTTGTACAGCCTGAGTGAGTGTGTGAGAGAGACAGCACACACAAAGTAACTCACAGAAATGTATAGATGCATACTGCGGTAGGAAAAAAAGATATTTACAAAATGTGATTTAGATAAACATTATACGGCCATGATGTTTCCCCGAATATCAATATCAACACGATTGCAATGTGACACTGATTTTATACAATGGTATTTCAATAAACAATAAGTTAATATTAAGTGACGTTATTTTATTTTATTTATTATTTTAAAGTGATTTTAGACAAAATATTGACTGTTTTTGCTCAATTTCGCTGACGAAAATAGTTACGATCAAAGCCACAGCAGAACTGTTGCGTGTCTCCCCGAGCAACACACTGGTGTTTACTGAATGAATCCACATTTTTGAACGAATCGAGTGAGTCAATGATTCAGTAACCCATTCATAAGGACAGTCACTTGCCTCGTTTCTGAATGAATCAGCCGTTTGAATGAATCGGTTGAAAGAATGAATAAATGACTCACTCATTAAAACTGACATTTGCCGCCACCTACTGGTGGTTTAGTCATATTTAAAAGTATCATTGCATTTTTTTTCAACAATTATTTGTATGTTTAAAAATGATGTAAAACATTAATCTTATACAATTATTTATGCATTTGAAATTTTGCAGTGTAAATGCATTTATGGCACCTCAGCTTCATCAAACTGTCTGTGTAAATGCATCTAATGCCACTTTATTTTGAGAGTTGTTTAAGTGAGAGAAAATCTGTAATTTAGTCCAGATTGGGGGAATTGTAATGTTTAATAATTTCTTTTATGAAAGATGACACATTTAATAAGGTTAGGGGGGGAAATTACCATTTATAAACACAGTGGCAAGTGATATCCGTTTTGTTATATACATAGGAATTCATTTTCAGTTAATTGTTATTTCTTTCCAGTCACAGAGCATTTTATTTTGAGATTTATTTAAGTGAGAGAGCATCTGTAATTTAGTCCAGATTGGGGGAATTGTAATGTTTAATAATTTCTTTTATGTTGTAAATAATTTTTGCATTGAAATTTGCATAGATATTTGTTTGTATATGCTGTCAATTATAGTTCTTAGAAAGAAAATTGGAATCGGCAAAAATCGGTATCGGCAGGTCACACTTCCAAAAAATCGGAAATCTGAATCGGCCAAGAAAATTGCAATCGGTGCATCTCTAGATATGTATTGGTTGATCTCATAAACCAATTTTCAGGATATTTTATATATTAACTGTTTAAGTTGTAATATTTCACAATATTACTGTTTTTACTGTATTTTTTTTATCAAATAATTACAACATTGCTGAGCAAAAGAGTCTTGTGTTGATAAATGTAATATTGACTGTAAAAAAAACTATTTTAAACAAAAACCTTGCTTCTGTTATTTTCTAGATAGCAAAAATATGTTTGTTTTTTTTAAAGAAGTCTCTTTTTCTCATCAAGTCTGCACTTATTTGATCAAACAGAAAAACAGCAATATTGTGAAATATTACAATTTAAAACAACAGTTTTCTATTTTATTATACTTAAAAATATAATTTATTGATGTGATGCAAAGCTACATTTTCAGCATTATTACTCCAGTTTTCAGTGTCACATGATCCTTCAGAATCGGCAAAAATCGGTATCGGCAGGTCACACTTCCAAAAAATCGGAAATCTGAATCGGCCAAGAAAATTGCAATCGGTGCATCTCTAGATATGTATTGGTTGATCTCATAAACCAATTTTCAGGATATTTTATATATTAACTGTTTAAGTTGTAATATTTCACAATATTACTGTTTTTACTGTATTTTTTTTATCAAATAATTACAACATTGCTGAGCAAAAGAGTCTTGTGTTGATAAATGTAATATTGACTGTAAAAAAAACTATTTTAAACAAAAACCTTGCTTCTGTTATTTTCTAGATAGCAAAAATATGTTTGTTTTTTTAAAGAAGTCTCTTTTTCTCATCAAGTCTGCACTTATTTGATCAAACAGGAAAAACAGCAATATTGTGAAATATTACAATTTAAAACAACAGTTTTCTATTTTATTATACTTAAAAATATAATTTATTGATGTGATGCAAAGCTACATTTTCAGCATTATTACTCCAGTTTTCAGTGTCACATGATCCTTCAGAAATCATTCTGATTTATTATCAATGTTGGAAACAGTTGTGCTGCTCAATATTTTTTTGGAACCTGTGATACTTTTTTCAGGATTCTTTGAATAAAAAATAAAAAAACAGCATATTCAAAATTTAAATCTTTTCTAACAATGTCACTTATCAATTTAACACATCCTTGCTGAGTAAAAGTATTAATTTCTTTAAATTCTTAAAAAAAAATAAAAATAATTACTGATCCCAAACTTTTGAATGGCTGTGTGTGTGTGTGTGTGTGTGTGTGTGTGTGTGTGTGAAATGCACAGATTCTTATCTCAAAAGTTATTTAAATTGTGTGCATAACACACTAGCATCAGATTGCAGATCTTCTGTTGTTTGTTACTGCAGATAAATGTTTGTTCTGCTGTCTCTGCAGTGAGGAACTTGTTTTTAGAAAATCTAAAAGAGAAAGGTTGAGACTATTTTGATTGGAGCGAAAACACTGTCTCCAAGTTCTGGTCTATAATTTGTCGATGTTTGTGCCTTGATAGGGCTCTGTTGTACTTGGGGAGAGCTCAGTGTGTGAGTCAGTACCAGAAGACAACAGTGACTCAAGGACAGAGACCATTACCTGCCCTGTCCTACGGGTAAGACCAGGAGCACAGACCCATGACCACACTGAAAAACCCTAAACAAACTACTACACAGACAGCCTAGTCCTGAACTCAATCTAAACTATCATGTAAGACCAATGCATGTGTTATTTTCTCTTACACCATATTATAAGTAATGAGTTATCTATAATAAAAGACCCATTAGTGTGTTTAATTCCCACACAAACAGATAAAGCGCTCATGATACGGGCCCACGCATAGCCTTAGAGAATGCTGGGATTGTTGAGCGAGAGAATTGAGAAGAGTGGCTACAAACACTCGGTCCTTTTGTCTGTCATATGCAAAGCACTGCTGACCTTTTCATCCATTCAGAGTAGTGAAGAAATGCAGCAAGAACCATTCAACTCATCCAGACCAACTCGGGGCAAAATTGGTGGGATGTGCTTTCCAACATCTCATTTGTTTGTTTTTTGTGTTTTTAGGAGCATGATACTGTTGCAGTGAAAACATCTGTATCATCCAATGCTATCATCACAGAAACAGGCTTGAGGAAAAGCTGTGGACCTGTGAGACAGGTCAATGGTGTTATCAACAGGTATGAAAGATCAAATATCATTTAAATGTGCATTCATTCATTTTTTCCCCTCATTGAAAAGGAGAAATGTCGCTTTTATTGTCATGTCCATTCAAGATGATTTCTTCTCCTCATTCAGCTTACGGCCCAGTTCCCCTGTCACCTTGGACCCAGACGAGCAGAGCCGCTCTGAGTCCCAGCAGAAGCTGGAGATGGGCCCTCAGGCTTCCCGTGCATACGACAACACATGCGTGGCGGCCCGCACTCGTCCACTGCTCTCATGCAGGAAACGCAGAGTCCTCCGGCCCGGCTCACTCACCAGTCTCAATCGTAAGGTATGGAGAATCGTGTTCCTTCTCAAGATCAAGAGGTTGGTGGTTTTGAGCAGAGAGGGCTGTTTACTCTTAAACACTTGCCACATAACTAATTTGCACTAAAACTGTTCACTAATGACAAATTTAGATTTTTTTTTTAACCGCTCCTTTTAGTCTCTGAATAAAAAGAGACAATTTTTTGACATATGTCGGTGAAGGTCACTAGGTATGAAAGTAGCGAGCGAGAGGTGTGCGAGGCGGCAAAAACAAGCTCTTTCAATGTCACCTGTGGAAGTGTTTTGCTCAAGATGTAGTGAGCTCCTTAAGGTCCCAGTGGGCTTCTTACAAAGGTTACAGATTAAATAGAAGCAGTGTCACAGAGATCACAGTACTGCTCCAGAACTGTCACTGCTGTCATTTAATGTGTTTCAAGTTGCTGTGAATGACAAATGGTTGACTAAAGCCAGTTTTTATCCTCCAAATATGATAATTACCTTACAAGGGAAATAATTTGTTGCATATCTTGCATCTTTGGATGCAAATATTTTTAAGAATAATTTGTCATATGCAGTTGTGTGTGTGTGTGTGTGTGTGTGTGAGTAAAAGTATTATTGGTATTTATATTGTCATTGTACTAAAGATATAAATTATTCTTGAAAATATGTACATGCAAATAGAGAGACATGCAATAAATACATACTTTAAAGCTCTTTTATTGTTCATTTTAACTTTCTTAAAAACTGTCAATATAGTGATTAATTTTGTGATTTGTGTCAGTCTTTAGAAAGCAGAAAACCACATTTAAAGCCTCAGCAATATCCTTTTAATGGTTTCCTGGGGAGTTTGATGGATTTGTCATATAATATTAAATGTTTTTGAACTTGGACATTTTCAACCCTGTTTGATGTTTAATTTATAGGATCAGGATTTTGGTTGAGTGGTGTTTCTATGTGAAATAGAAACCAAGCAGCTGTAAACATGTAGTTTGGCTGGTTAGGACAGAAACTTGGATTTACATGAAAGACACAACTTTTATCATTCATCACCCCATGCCTGGTTAGGACATGGTGTAACAGTCCATGTCTAACAGGCAGCTGTCCTCTGAATGATGCAACAGTGTCTGCCATATTCATAAGATGGCTACAAAGTCTCCGCTCTTCTTTTACAGATCTATTTGCTCTTTGAACAGCCTTTAAAACACGATTCCTCCCATAACACAGGCCCACTGTGAGCGAGAATGCGCTGGCATGTGCTAAAACAATAAGCGCAACCCCAGTCAAGCTCAGCTCCATTACAAATAACAGCGCTTGGATGTCATTCAGAGACAACGCTCTTGAAATGTTATGAGAAATGCAGCCAGTGTCATCATTGTACTAACAGCCAAATTCACTCACACTGCCAGTTATAAACTACCTGCTAACCGATGTACTGTCCAACTCCAATCCTAAATTTATGGCCGGCACTCCAGATGAACGCTGCCTCAGTTAGAGGCAGAAGCTCAATGGCTTTTAAAATTTCCACCATTATGTTTGAACAAGGACAGATAGAAACATACTGCTAGCTTATTAGCTGAATCTCTGTTTTCTGCTTTATTAAAAGTGACTGCATGTTTTTTTTTTTGTATTGTTTTCTTTTTCTATATAATTTCTATTTTAAATGTTATTTAAGCAGTTTGCTTTTTATAGCTATATTGTATATTATCGCAACCTTAATTACATCAAAAAATAAATAAATTTTGGCTACTTTACAGATTACGGTTGAATATTTTCTGTTTAATTGTGCAGCTATGCAGAACTGTTAACAATATAGCTTTTATCTGCAAGTTAAATAGTTTATCTGCAAGTTAAATAGTTTTGCTTAACTTGCGCATAAAAGCTTTGTTAGTTCTTTAGTTGACATGTTTCGAAATGTGCAAAATGGATCTGGAAACACTTCTTTGTTTGTTGAAATGCAACAGAATTTGCATGTCATTGCAACTAAGAAACCAGTTCAGTTCTGTAATTCCAGGTGTTTTCTGTGTGATTGCAGCGATGATAGTCCCTGTACAAAACTGTCCTGCTCTAATGTGAAGCACTCTTGTTTGAATAGGCTCGGAAAAACTGGGCACAGTTGCCAATAGCAACCCGTTCTCTCTTTCTCTCCAGTGCTGTGCTCTGGGTTAATGACACGAGCACATGAGCGCTAGGGAACCTGCCACATGCAAAACTGGGACAGCAGCTCAGGATCCGTGTGTGGTCATCTGCTGCAGAGATTTGTGTGAGAGCATCAGGTTGGAAGGGTTGACTCAAGTAAACGTAGACAAAGGGAAAGGCTGATCACTGCCAGATATAAATTTTGGATGCTGGTGCTCCAGAGATTTCGGTCACAAAAAGCAAGATCACAGTGGACGGCACTTGAAGGACTGGATTTTTATTTTAATTTTTATTTTAAGATGAATAAAAAGCATATTTGATGATGATCCATGCATGCTGTTTTTTATTTTATTTATTTATTTTTTTAGCACAAAGAGAACAATATAAGTCAGGTTCTATACCTAGTATAATACTACTCTCTCTCTCTCTCTCTCTCTCTCTCTCTCT